TCCCACAAATATTTCATTGTCAACGACAGTTGTTAAAGTATTACGCAGTGCCTCGGGTGCTTTGACCTTACGCACTAGAGCGTCACAGGAGCGAGTATTTCTGCAAAATAAATACGAGGAGCTATTTCTCCCTTTGAATCCATCACTTTTGTGTAATCACGACGAACACACTTTCACCATGAAATCGTAACAAATAATGATTGATGATGAAATTGATTGGGTCCCAACAGTGGAGCCACATTATTTAGGTTGCAAATAAACTGGGCGTCAATCATGCGATGTGTTTACTTCCACGTTTGAATGTGTTGAGAATGAGTAGCCAAAAAACGCCGTCTGCAGGCTGCTTCCTGGAGTGGCCTGATATCTCCAAAACTCGGGAAAGGGAGGGGAGGGGGGAGAGAAAGGTGTGGATGTTGTGGGAAGGTGATAATATTTATTCTCACTTAGGAGAGTCGCCGGTCGTTAAAAAGTCGACTCGCCCATAACGGGAAAGCCTGTAGGGCCACATGTATAGTAACCATGAGTAAAATGTGGTATACAGCTATGTTACTGAGAAGTTGCAATAGAGCAAACGATGGGGCATTGTGGAGGCAAGTGAAGCAAAGACCTATCTTATGATCGTGCCGTCTTCATTAGAAGCAAGAATTTCGGTTTGCTTGTTTAGCCCCTCCTGACGCCAATCTTTCCAATATTAAATCCGGGACAGCGTTCATCGCGCAAGCCCGCGCAAATATTTAAAGGTCTTTATCAAGTTATAAAACAGTCATCAGGCAGAGGTAAGGACGAATAAATACGCGAGAGAGTCCAAAATGGGATGAACAACCTATGAGAGGAGATGTGTTTCAAACAGTAATAAAGAGATTAGCGAAAGCCACTTGATTTATAAGTTTGGGAAATAAATGTATTATCGACGACCTGAACCTTTTGTTGCGCAAGCCAATCCTTGTGCAGACACGGGAACGGTTCCATCAGCCGCGCGATGCCAGCGAGCGGCTGCTGGTACGAACCCAGCATACCGCCACGACCCCTCGATCTCCACCGACCGAGCGGCCTCGGACCTGCAGCTCATGAGAGAAAGCGTTCGGTCGTGCTGGCTTCCTCAATCTCGCGGATTGAGCGTGCCCGCGTCGACGAGGGAAGACACCTGGACGTCTCAAGGTCGTTGTGGCGCTCGCGGCTAGCTGCTCATTTCGCGCTTTTTGAGGATTATCCCTACAGAAAAAGTCGACACAAAAGAAGCCCCTGCCGTCACATAATTTTTCGGAGAGGGTGACAAGAGGAGGGCGCGAGGGGCATTTTCCTACCTTGCGGATTATGGTTTCGTTGGTCATCTTTAAAGCCTGGTGGGCAAGGAATCAACGGCTGCTTTTTCTTCGCTCAGGGGCCGAAAGCGGAGAGAAAGGAGCCGTCAATCTGTGCCTGTCAGGTGAAACATTAGGAATGAGTAGTCACGACACAACTATCCTTCTAGTTTAGAAAATAAAATAATTTCCTTTTTAACTTCATCAGCATCCGCACGAACCGCAAAATGACTTGCCTGTGCCGAGTGACATGCTGCATCCATCAATATGTCACCGTACTTTGTTTGGCATATTTTTGATTCCAACTAGCCAGTGGTTGTTCGAAACGATACCTCTCTTTTTTTCTGTCCTTTCTTACCGTTGGTCCTTTTCTTTTAAAATGCCAGTAGTGACCTCGCTCTATCGATATCGTATTTCTTGAATAGAAGTCCCAGTCAGGCGATGCCAATGCTGTTAGGCATAAATGAAGTATCAAAGTGAGGAGAGCTGATATCGAAACAAAGGGTGCAACAACCCTGCCATGCAGTAGCGGCACATAGGATTATCACACCATATCCGCTTTTTGCATTAAAGCCGAAAAGAGGAATCAGTGGAAGCAGCTGTGGCAAACCGCAACGCGTTTTTAGCTGTAAACAGTGACTGTATATGCAAGTCAAGAATGCACATGCGTAGAACCCCCTGCGAAAATCACTCCCGACTAGCAATTAGGCTGGGGGGGGGGGGAGCTCTATCCCGAAAGAGCACCAAAATTCAAGATGGCAACGACAAAATTTTTCTACCAGAAAAAGAAAAAAAAAAAAGCGCAGTGTACACGGATTTAGTATTTTATTTATCTCTGAGAACATAGACTTTATTAGGCCAAAGATTTGTCACTGCTATGTTAATCACTTTCAAAACCACCAAAAGACTCCTCAGAGTCTGTCACAAGAAAAAGTTTGCAGCATTCCGCAGACTATGTGCCGTTGGCTATTTTGACAACCTCTTCAGAAAGAAGCCGGTTGCCAATGGCTCATTCTGCACTTCTTTCGCGCTCGAGGTATGAGTGCATCCTCCACGTTTTCGCTGTACACCGGCGTGCCGTTACTTAGCTTTCGTCGAAGTTTGACTTTCTGGTAGTTTGGCTGTAGCAAATTTTCAAAATTCTTGTCCCATTCCCGTATCCGGTAGAGCTTGATGTGTCGAGACGTCAGGTGTATGTTTTTCCCGTTTTCACAATGCCATTGGACGACCTCAATTTTCTTTGCCGCTGTGAAAGAATGCATAGCCGACCTGACAACCCCAAAACAAAGCGACAGTGGTGCATGGCGACCGGGCAGATAGGGCTGCAAAGTAGGATTGGATTGGATTCTTGGACTGAATTTCGCAGGCCAGTGTTGCCTGGGCACAATCAGGCTGGTACGTGATACGGGTGTGGTGCGGGGAGGGGGGCGCTTTCCCGGAACAGCGAGGAAATGTGAAATTGGCAGTGAAGTTGGGGGGGACACTTGCTCAGAATTTCATAGTAAGCTTAAATTGTATCTTCATATTTTCTAATCTCTTTTATGCCTAAAAATAGTGCAACCAAATACTTCCCTAGGGTGCTGTGGGAGGAGGGTGAATACACCTTACTGGGCACTGTAATGCAGTGGCTTTGGCACTGACAGGTTTGACGTCGTTTGTGTGGCTGGATTCGCCGAAGCCTGGGGTTTCCACCTTAAATTGGGTGAGGTGGCTGATGTCACCTATCATAGTGGAATACCAGGCAATCGGATGTTTTTTGTTGCCCATGGAGCTTGTTTTTGAAACTTAAGGGGGGACACTGGCTAGAGGTCAAACTTTTGAACTACTCAAGTGATCGGAATGAAATTTGCAGGGGAGATTTAGCTTCAGATGTAGGTGTACTGTGCAAACTTTCAGCTCTCTAGGACAAATTTACATACCTGCATAAGATGATGTGTCACTTTTCATTAAGGAATCTATGATATGCAAATCAAGCTATTAAGCACCATTTTGACTGCTTGAATATAAAGTGGGGGATATGGGACCTCAGGCTATCTAGTTTCAATAACTTAAATGTAAATATTTCAGAAAGAGTTATTACCTCAAACTATGAGATGCATATCTGTCATCTGTCAATTTTTGAAAACTTAAGTTTTTTCTCACTGAGGACTTCAACTTAAAACAAAATAAAGTAGATAGCCCGATTCCTGAGTAAATTTCAGTTCAGAAACATCTTGAATGTGGTAACAGAATACTTTCACCTTCGAACAAAAGATTCCTTCGTATGAAATTTGCAGCAAAAAGTAGAACTGAGAAAAATGCATTCAAACATTGAGCTCCTGTACTTTGTTACTGCCTCACAATGCGTTGAAAATATTTTATATCAACGTAACTATTTGGCGTATGGTCATCAAATTTGGTGTAAAGGTGTATAATTAGTTTCTAAAACTGAAAACCTTAGAATCAAAAAATGAATTTTTTCAAAAAAATTTAAAATTTAGACCCATTAAAACAACATACAATGGTTCATCTGGTGAATCAATTAAAATTGTGGCCACCCTCTGTATTGGAAAAAATGACCAGAGTTGATTTCATCTCATCAAATTGACGAGTTGTGTGACATGTGGACAAGTAAAGGAGAAAGACATTAGCTGGCTCAGAGCGTGTGAAAGGGTAGCACTCGATTGCCAGGCCTGCTCAGATAAACATGCATTTTTTTTTTGTCAAGCCTGTCTTGTCCTTGGAGGTGAGCTGTATGCACCGATTCTTACTGACGTCTGTGCGATGTGCGCCGTCAGTAATGTACCACTTGCGCATTGCAGAAGAACACTGGCTGGTGGTAATGTTGGTGTGGGAGTCTGTGTGTCGCACCATCAGGAGAGAATTTGGCACGCTAGATAAACTGTAATAGAAGCGAGTGAAGTAGGCTGTACATTTGCTCTAGAAACATGTTTAGTGCAATATTCATTCTCACAAAAAATGTTACCTTCGTCTAGCAGTTTCAAGTTTGAGTCAATTTCATTGCAACAAGTGTACGGCTGTTCTCTTTAGACCTCATACCAATTGTCATTATGACAAGCAAACAAAGCAATGCATTATCTTTTTATGTTTATTTTTTTTTGTTACTATGAGAATTTACGAAATAGCTAACTTATTGCAAATGTTTTCAGTCATCTTGAACACTACATTTGCTTACCACTTTTGAGTTTAATGACGAAAACACCATTTTTATTGCCCGGTTGTGGTATGTTTATGCATGTTCTGTACAGTTGTGCACTGTATCGTTTTCACTGGATATATCTGAAAATGTTTATGCAAAGTAGTCATAATGAACAGTGTATAGGGTGTTTTCACTGACGTGATTTCGTCCACCATTTTGTTGTTGCGATCTGTGTGGAATGTGCCAAACTCGAGCATTTCAAGGATATACATGCCTTCTCAAATGCGTAGAGCACCGCTGACATCATTTCAACCGGTTACGATGTAATCCTTCAATGTAGTAAATTTGTTTCAAAAACCAAACTAACAACAAAATGGCGGATTGACGTCATGCGCAAACAACCTATAGTAGAGTGCCTTGAATGCATTTGTGACTGCTGTCTTTGGCCATCCTATGCTGCTTATGCATTTAAGGTAGCCCCAAAATGGTGACAAATTATGTCGCAGGAGCTGGATGCTGTGTTATGTCGCAATCCTAATGGTTGGCCCTATGTGTTCCAGCGAATAATAGGAAACACAAGTGTCGCTCTTGTAGCGTCCCAACTCCTGGCTGCTGAATCTTCCATGGACTATCAAGCTGGAGACGAGCTACAGCACAACAGGGGCCTACCGCACCCGCCTTCTGCTGCTCTACCACCACCAGGATCGTGGCATGGAACAGCATGACACTTCTATGACGTTGTCAGGCAAAGATAGAGGGAACTAAAATAAAGTGACGATGAGCATAGCACTCGGGAACATGTTCCAGGCACCATTAGAATGTGCTAGTAGAGGCCCATTGATGTAGCCCATTAGAATGTCCCAGTAAGGGCAAATACATCAGTAGGCCGATATTGGACCAATACACCAACATGCCTCTACTGAACCAAACACACAAATAGGCCTCTAATAAACCAATACACCAGTAGTCCTCTATTTGACCAATACACCAATGGGCCTCTATCGGTACTATAGGACCCACCTACTTTTTACAATAGGAATCTACTGGTCTATCAGTTTACTGGTTTATTATTGTAATTTTTGCTGGGGATGTGATAGCACAACATCTTTTATTGCATATGTTCTAATGTTAGCTGCATATGTTATGAGCCTTACATATTGTTTACAGGTGTACTTTGAAAATATTGAGGTCAGTGCCATTTCTAACTCCAAACCCTCGATTAAGTAATCTTGTTCATTATTTCGAGCAAAAATAAATTATTAAATTTAGTTCAGTTGTACCACAGCTGCTGCCCTTGCCAGGGAGAATTTATTTGAGGAAGTATAATATATGTACAGTATAGACCACTTACAACGTAACCGCTTATAGTGCAGGACCGGGTATAACGCGGTTTTTTTTAAACCACCGGTTCGCCTCCCATAGAACTCCATGTATTTACATACCGCTTAAAATGCAGGCGCGCGAAGGGAAATACCGGCTATAGTGCGGTTTTTGGCACAGCCCGCCGACCGCGCCGACGACCGGAGCAGCGGGCACGCTTCCTTGTGCGACACTAGATAACGGCGCTGACGGCGCGGGGCGAGGATGTTGCTCGAAGAAGTGGGGAGAAGCGAAGAGAGAGGTTTCAGTCGCCGTAGCCACCGTAGCGACAGAGGGACGCACGCACGTGTCGTTCACGTGCATGCGTCCCTCCGCTGCGTTGGAAACAAAGAAACAAACAACCGCACCGACAGACCAATCGCAGATCGAGGAGAAGTGTTCGCGCGTGTTGCGTACCGGTCGCGGGCCGGCTGCTTCTCCGTAAACATGGTGTCGGTTGTGATCGTCGTCGTAGACGGAGTTCATCTCATTGTTCTGCGTAAAAGCGCTATCCTTGACTGTGAATTTTCGTTGTGTGTCGCTATGATAACCCAGCACGTACTAGAAGGGAAGATCCACCTACTCGTGCAGCGATGCCGTGGCGGCGCTCTCAAGACCGCAGAAACGCCCGTGTCGTCGTGTTTGTTTACTTCGACTACAGTGGTGATTTCTAAGCATTTGTGACCTCAAACATCGCCCGGATTTCTTATTTGGCGCATTTCATGCGTGTGCTAAAGTTCAAGGTATTACTGGCGCGTACCGTATGAAGGATGCGAATTTTCACGCGTTTTCATCTCCGGAGAAAAGTGATTAGGGTTAACAATCCTGAACGCTCGCAACGTCCGTCTGCAACCCGCGACGCCGTTAAAAGGCTGCGCCAGGCAAAAGCCGCTAATTTCTTTCAAAATGTGTGACACACTTGAGACATAACTGTACTAGTCTGGTGAAATAAAGACTTTCCTCAAACTAAGCTTTATTTTTCATCGAACATAAAATAAATTCTTTTACAAGGGTAAGTTGTCTCATGGCATGTATTTTGGCCTGAAAAATTGATGTTTTGGTTATAACGCGGTACCGCTTATAGTGCGGATTTTCGCGACTCCCGCGACATACGTTATATGCGGTCTACACTGTAGTAGGGCCTCTCACCCTTGACATTTAGGCTGCTGCAAAACATGGCACCAGCTGTTTTGTGTGTTTTCTTTTTGCGGAACGTCTTTCCTGTAAAATCCACATTCAGGATCATTATCACAGCGAAATCTCTGGAGTGCTGGACACAATTTATGATACTTGGCATGGCACGGGTATAGTATTATATCAGTGCCCGGCGTCACTATTTTCTAGCACCGTGTTTAATGCACACCTTTAATGCATACCCTGATGATGGCCTTAAGACAAAGTACATTGGATAGTAATCACCCTACGTAAACAACATTTACATGCTGGTCCATGTCTTTCATCAGCCTGTATACGTAAATATCCCCATTCGATAATAATAAACCTACGTGAAAAACGTTTACACGCTGGTACACATCTTTCATGAGCATTTATGTAAATATTCCACAGTGAGCATTAAAAATTGGCTGTATTTTCACATATGTTAGGAAATCTTGGACTATGTGAACACATGTAAAAAAAAAGTTCAGATGCATGTATGCCCTCTGCTATTGCAACTTATTTTCATCACACTTCCGGCACACCAAGGAAGCAATAGACAATGTGTTTGATTTTACTTCAAACAGACCTGTTTAGCTGTGCAATGTACACTAATTCGGTTTGTACAGGCGAGTTATATGGCTAGTGGGACATAATTAGCATGCCGTGATTTCGGATAAAACCGTAAAACTCAAACAAACATTTGCCAATAAAATTTTATAAAATTAGATTTATCCGATAAACTCACACTTTTGATGTCCCAGTGTAAAAAAGGAAAGGAAAAGAAAAAAACAAATGCGTAAGCATGCCTTTCCTTTATCTGCTGAAAAAAGAAGTTGTCTTTCTTGGTGGCTGCATGCGATGAGTGATAGGAACCTTTATCTTGTTGCATGGCGGTGTATATATCTGATGGGGATCGACAGTTTGCCGACGTTTGGTGTTATATTAAATCGGTTGAAACTTGGCGCTTGTCCTTGTCGTACGTGTCTTTTTTCGTCCTGTTTCAGTTCACGCCTTTTAACGTTTTAATCTGTATTCTGTAACTGAGTTTTGTCACAACACAAGGTCACTGTTCCCAAGGAGAGGTCATTCCTGTTTTTTTTCGAATCTCTGATAGTTGACAAAAGACGTTTTATTGTTTATCTTGTCTAGGTTTGTTGAGGACAACTGGTTATTATACCTCTGGGTCACGACAAAAGCCACTGTTCCCGTTTGCAGTTTGAGCCATACTCTTTGTGCTCCTTAGTGGGGGGGGAAGGTTTTGGTTTTTATAGAAGTAAAAAGTATGAACCAGTAGATTTTATGGGACAGTGTGCATGTGTCTGGGATGGGGGGGGGGGGGGGGGGGGGGGGGGGAAGGGAGCTGTCACTATCAGTACTGCACTTCATGCAGCCACAGGGTGAAATGGATGGGAAATGACTACATCTGGGTCTCTAGTGATTTTAGAGTATCAATGCCTTTTCCAGCAACACTTCTGTGTAACTTTTGTCATGGGAGAGATGCGGTGTTAACAGTGGCAAAGACGCGAATGCCAAACCCAGCCGAATAAATATCATTTGATACAGGCACGTTCTTTTGAATTTAGCAGACATTTATGCCCAAATGGCATTTATTTTTATTTTCAATTTTCCAAAATTGGGATTACAGTGAAATTAAACTTTGATTTTCATGCATTGTAGAAGAATGGGTGTTAAATAGTAAAGTGGTAAATATAGACCGACACGCTGTTTACAAACAAGCACGTGTGTTCCCCCACACCAGGTGTGGGTACTGCGCGTGCACAGAAACCAAATTTGCGTGAGGTGAAAAGTCTGCGCATGCGCAGTGCTGTCAACAGCGCCATTGCAGCTGCGTGACTTCAGGGCCGCATGTGGGTCTATATGTTCTTTTTCCAGCTTTCCAAGTGTTGGTCCTGGAGAACCAGGCCAACATCATCACGCAGCTTACCGAGCTAAGGAAGAGTGTCGTGGCTACCTCAGCCACGAAGGTAGCAGTCGCGCTGCCTCCAGACGCCCCCACGCTCCCTGCAAGCACGTACGACGGCCTCAAGGAGGTCAACGCTTACGCTGCCTCGCAAGACAAGCTGGATGTTCTGGTGAGATTTAATGACAATTTCGGTGTATAGTTGCCATATTCAATGCGTAAATCATATTTGCACCAATTTCATGGTTCCCCGCCATCCTGGCAACTTAACTTTATCAGGTGCATATTTGTCCTGTGAATGACGGCATGTGTGTTTGTGATGAAACCCCATGGTTTGACAGAAGGGCAATGAGCCAGATTTTGTGCATGTTTCTATCTGTTCGTGAATTCATAGAAAAAAGCCTCAGTGCGGGAACAAAAAAATTGTTGTGCCCATTGTAATTTGTATTTTGGAATTGCAGTGGCTAAAATGTGCTTCAATTACAACTACAATTTAATTTTTATTCAGAAGTAATGAACCACAATAACGGATGTTTCAGGAAAGCAGTGAAGTAATGTTTTTTTTTATTATTGTGAATTTTTTTACGAGCTGATGTTAGCGGCTGTCATCAGCTCATTGCGAAAAATTTATTGCGCCAATGGAAGAGCCCACTGTAATGAGACATGACTAAGACCTTTATGGTGATATCTTTCTCAATAATAGTGTGATATGGCTTTTGCTCTATTTAAACCAATCTGCGACATAAAAGGCAGGCAACCAAGATGGAACAAGCAAACTGCTGGGTGGCTTTGCAATGACTAAAAGCTATTTACTGTAAATGACTTAATTTCCACTAGCACCTAATTTTTACAACTTGCATAAATTAAAAAAAAATAGACCCTGCAAACATATTTTCCTGTGGTAACAAATCGATCCGTGCACTCATGCTTGTAGGTGATGGGCTGTGCCGTGCTTTTAGAAAGCAAAAAAGTTGTCGGGTATCAGTGTAATTGGTTGAGTTTTGAGTTTGACCAGATTCAACTTTTTCTAGCCTCTTGCGAAAAGTTTGACAAAGGTTCGATTCAGGTTTGACTGATATGCGCATGCGCGACAGGTTGGAACTCTACTTATGATTTCCGGTTGCTGGGCAATTCCATTCTCTTGAATAACGGTGTGCCACACCTGCATGAACTCGTCGTGGCTTGTATACCACGTCAAATGCCAACGACAATATCGCCATCCATGATGCAGTGTCGCTCAATGAAGTCATCAAAAAGGGAACGACGCATAGCCAATAGTTTGGACAAAGTTGACAGCGTCACAGGCACCAGGATGCATGATTTGACATGTGCAGAAGCATCATGTTCG